AAAAACGTCCATAATTTACCACCTCTAATGAAAACCAATTTCCCAATTCTTAATGAAAGCACAACTTGATCGCCTGCAGAATCTTCGTTCCCCTTATGGGCCTGATAAAAGGATTATAGTAACAGACTTCAGTGACCAGCGGATAAAACATATCTTTAACGGCAAAGACATCAGTGGCCATCATCAAAAATCCCACGCAAAACGAATCATTTTGAAATTACAGAGGTGTACACTTAACAATTATTCGCCTCAGGCTCAGTGAATATTGTTGAATAATCGTATTGTGGATTATTCAACAATGTTCTCTGAGCCTGGGGCAAACATTTGTTTTAGTTTAATTGTCTATTGCTTTCGAATTCAGTCGTGAATTCTGTAATTAAAGCATTGCCCATTTTTTTGTGACAATTAAGGTGACTACTCGTATCAAGATAAGCAAGGAGTCTTAGCAGGTTTATTAAAATAAATTAGCAAAACCTTCGTATCTTTCTTTTTAAAAAAAATTTCCGCCTAACTCAGTTGCATCTTTTGTACTCATCGCAATTGAATTTTCTTCTATCGCGATTATCACTTCTAGGAGAACGAGAGGCAGTTACTTTGAAATTTACCTTGCGCTTCCTCGCGCGAGGTGATTTTAGCCAGATCTGACGCAATCCTCGACCAATACGAGCGCGTGCATCCCAATAATCACTAGAGGCCCCAGTTGTTCGTAGCTCAGAGAACACTAACCACTGGATAAATCTCTATCCGGTGGATAGCGCAGTACGTTTTGTTAACACTTATCCGCTGGGTAGCGTTTTATCCGTTATCCAAGCGTTAAGCGTTATCCTAGCTTCGAACAACTGGAACGTTGCATACATATGCGATTATTATTTTTCTCCCCCATGAAGAAAACTAGCAAGAAAAAATTCGTCGCACGATTTGTCCATGTGGACACAGCACATTTGGAAGAAGACCATGAGTTTAAGCTCTCCATCGCGCAACCCTCACCAAACACTACGACGTGGCACAAGTGTTTCAAGCTAGAACTACAGGATGATCCTCTAAAAGAGGTATGTCGTTAAATTCAAATCTGAATTAACGAAAATACCTACCAACAAATTCTGTGAAAGCTAGTAATTTCATTTTTTCTCACATAATTCAACCTAATTTGTTATCATTTTTTCGGAACCCTCCTGTGAGTACTGGTAGAGGGATTCCACCACCGTTTCACTATGAAAAAAATGGTTAAAAAAAATGGTTGAGACTCTCACGGAAACAGAACCAGTTGTACTGGTCCTTCCACTGGCGAGATTCGATCACTAATTATCCTTTCTAATTATCACACATTCTCTTAAATGTCCCTTTTGAAAATTTCTCGGTACATCGAGTCAATATTTCTTTGAAGGTAATCTAGGAGTTTTAATGATATTGCTAGCAGAAGTTACATATCAATCCATTCCGTCCGCCAAAAGCAAATTTAGCCAGCAAGCTTCGTCTCTAAGTTATTCAGCCACCTGTGGGTGAGTTTCCCTCTGAATTAAGGTCTTTGGAAGTAAAAGGAAAGCATTACGAGAGATTCAGCATAAATGTCCAGAACTGCAGTTGCTTCTTCGTCTTACATTGTAGCTATATACAGGTTTTAATACCAACGATGTAATAAAACCAAGTCGCAGAATCGTCATCAAACACGGAAGAGAAATTGAGAACGGCAAACACCAGGTCTATTTTGACTCCGGGACTTTTTCTCGTGCAAGAAACTGTGCGTGATGGTTCTTGTGTTCGTCTAGCTGTGAAAAATATGTTTTCAGGTCTTACCGGCTAAATCAACTAATGACTATATTATTTCAAAGGAAACACCCTCTGGTTTTGCGGACACGGAAAGCCTGAAAGAAAAGGTGCTGGGGATTTTGAAGCAAATTCACCAAGAAAAGGAGGAGGAGATGGTCATAGTAGATATTTGGTGTCATTTTGGTCACGCCTACCTAATCAAGGTTGATGAAGGTCAGTCCTGCAGATTTTATGAGTCTTTTGGTGAATTGGTGAGGTATCAGTTAGAGATTTTTGCATACTTCTTTCGGTAGATGAAGAGGATGACATTTTCACCCTGGGGGAAATCAAAGATAGAATTGAATCAACTGATGACGATCGTTGGAAGACATTCTTCGCGGAAGTTGAGACAATCGAAGTTGAGCAGATTGAAAAGTCTCTCAACGCAGAGAACAGACAGTCTACAACCCCCACAGTTCACAGCACAACTAGTGATGACATACGTTACGATCTCACCTTCTTCACTCCATCTGGTTTAGAAGTTCGAGTCAAGGTAATTTGAACATTTAGCAAATCATTTTTTCTGCCGGGGTGGGGCTACTGTCGCCTCTAAACTATGGTCGCTAAGCTAGGACAAGGTATCTTTGTCAAGCTACAGGTAAACAGATGTCGAACCCAAGCTAATTCACGTCTCCCTCAATCGTAATGAAGTCGCTCAATGTTATAGATCACCTGATTAAAAAAAATCGACCAATCATGAAGTGCAATCTTGAGAAAATTAAGTTCCGTTGTTCGGTAATCTGTTAAGCATCGTTAATGAGGCTCATGACGCTAATGTAATTCTAATTGTGTTTTACTGCCATTTCGTTTTCTTTAAATTAACCAATAAAAATGTTCGATTGAGAAAAATGTTAGTTTTCCATCCTACCCATCCTACCCATCCTAATCCGAGCCACGTTTTTATTCACTCTCTTAAGTCTCCTGAAGGCGTGTTTCTACCCTACCAAAATTTTATTAACGATCTGGCCTTCTATACTCTATCAAACCTATGATGTCGGTTGATTTTAAGGTAGCTCTGTGAGCATCATGGTGTTCTATTAACCAGATTGTATCAAATACTGTACAGGGAGATAACACGACGAATCAAGGGATATTGTCTTGATTTGTGATCGTTATACCTTGAGCAGTTTTAAGTAATTTTTTTGCAGGTGAACTCTGAGCTATCGAAATGGAGCCTGTTTAAATTCTTAAAACTGCAATAACAGACAAGCATGATTACACGTCTGGCAGAAAAGAGCCTTCTGTCGTTTTCTTTCGCGTCTGGTCAGTTAAAGAATATAAAAGTGTTGCTAAGCTGGTTCACCAAGATTTCACTTACAGACGGTGTAAATTAACCGTGGCTCGACCAAATTTTATCTTTATAGATGTTAACATTATCCCTCTGTTATCAGGTATGGCTCATAGAAAAAGAACCCGGGACCGAAGGCGGGACCTTGGCGTTCCGTCACAGCGCTCCACTTCCTGTCAGAAACTCCTTGACACAAATCTTACCTGACGAGCATAGTGGAGATGCATCAAACTCACCAATTTTCCACATCTGTGATACATTTCATCAGAGAATGAAACTCGACATTCTAATGCCGTCTGTAGGATTTGATTGCCGTTTGAAAATACGAACATGTGAGGAAACATTTCTATCAAACTTGAGAAAAAAGACGTAAAATGATTTTACAACATTCTGCATGTTATTTGCTTCTCCAGATATGACTTTGGAACATTAATGGTTATCTAACTGCTTACAACGTCTGGCATTTCCTTCCCATTCTGTCCACAAGAACAGAAGAATTTCAGGCTAAATAGGTTATTGGCACGCCAGACTAAGCTTGATAGCCACCTTTAGCCTGATTGGTGAAAGGGCAGGGCCTAAAATTTGAATATAATTAACTTAAATAAGTGATATTTGACCATTAAAAACTGAATGATGATGTCCCACGTACCTTATGGAAATAACTTCCTTCTCAAAAAAACTACAATTTCCGAGAATAAGCAAATGTCTTTGTGAAAGTGGAGATTGTGATTCCAATTTTTAAACACATAGCCATAACAATCTTCAACAAATCTTCATCAAAGACAGTTTTTAATTTTTCAACTTCCTCCAAATTGTAAAATCCCTAACTTTGGATAGCAAGTTGTTGCTATGGTGGCTAAAACGAATTCTGCGATGTTGAATTTAATTGAGTACACTTAGTGTGATTGGCTAATGTACCTGTCTGGTCACAGGTATTCGATTTGAACCAACTGTTCGATTAAAACTCAGCAGAATAATAAATTAATGAAAACAAAAAGCAGTTGGTCCACCCATCACATAAGACGAAATGGTTAAGCCTATAATTTAAGGTTTGAGACTCAAATGAGAAAATTGCATGCATTTTATTATGCAGAATAAAAACGGACATAGCCTGACCTTACTTCTTTCCCCTTTTAGTTCCAAAGTTTCCACAAACAACGACACCACAAGCAGAAGAAGAGCACAAAATTCTAGAAAACTACCTCATGGAAATGAGGATTGAAGATGGTCAGCTGAAGTTTCCACCAATTTCCAAGCTACCAGATGGGTTTGACCTTTTTTTTCAGCGTCGCAGCCTTCGAAAGAGATATGAGTATGAAGATGACGGAGACATGTTCACTTTGACTGTTTGCAAAGACCAGTCAAAAGAAGTGAATGCCAACCAGACTGATGCGTACAGTTTCAATGAATCAGAAGCGAAGGTATTGCTAATCATACACAAACAGTTTAGCACTTATATGCATTTCCCAGATTCAAATCCGTCCTCACCATCAGGTGCAATTCTTGGGGAATATCATTTTTTCTTTGTTCACTCACAGGTAGCTCAGTAAGCAGTGTAAGCGTATGTTTGTTTTTTTGTCCCACGGTAAACGAAACCTGATATATGAAGTTGAAGTTGCATAACTATGGTTTAGATACGTTAAACTTGACTATTTTTTGGAGCATATGGAGATACATTTGTAGGATTGAACGACTTTTATTATACAAGTTTGCATAGGAAAGCAGCGGATTCGGGCCTAGAGGCAGATGTTTTAGTTTTGTCCTAAGACTAACTTAAGTCATTACCATGTTGCATTGCCTGTTTTCCTCTCGCTATAGATGCCTGAGATATTAACTGTCCACCAAAAAAACTAGCTTCTCCCTTTGCTCACTGAATCGTCGGTGCGTCACTTACTTGCATCATACTACATTATATCGCATCACATTACATCACATTCCCATCACATCACATCACACACGTCACATTTACATTGGCATTCATATTCACATTCACATCACGTTACATTCACATCAAATCACGTTCACATCAAATCACATTAAATTACATTCACATCACATTCACATCACATCTCTCAAAGTGAACAGCTCGGTGACGTGTCTTTGTTAATTACTATGCAAGATACAGGCAATAAGCGAAAAAGGTTATTTATTTAATAGTTATGTCAACTCATTTGTAAAATTTGAGCAAGATTCGGTACTAACTAGAAGTAAACTTTTGGTAACAAGAAGTGAATGGTAATTACTTCAGAGCTTAAATGGGACCAGTTGATGTAGGTATTGCTACAGCATTTGTATATTGTTTTTCATTTGTTTGCATTGCTAATATATTTTGTTTCTTTGATGTCCTTTGTTAATCCCGAAAAGCCGGATGTTCATCTCCACTGTGAAGAATGGGACCAATTATTAAATGAGGGAAACTGGGAACCGGAGCAGATTACTGCCAAGCTTCCTAAATTTTTAGAGTTTCTACGGAAAGTTCAGGGAAACCTGTAATAGCCAGTGACGAGTGATTCCAGCGAATAGCGAGCCTCCAAGAACCTCCCTCCTTAAGATACGTCACAGCAAGATGCGTCTGTTTGTTACGTAACCTGGTTGTCCTGTGACTATATGAGGAATGTTGATCACCCACTTCACCACATTAACTTCTATAAAAATTGCATATGGACTTCTACCATGTATGATCTGGTCACGTGTCTGTTCCTTAAGATTATGATTTTGTTTTTAGTGCAAACCTACGATCGATAAACGCGTTGTGCTATATTTGTCGAAATAAACTTTTTTCCTTCTAATACTGTTACATCTAGGGAAAAGTATGCTTTGTGTAAAAGACCATGAAATCTTCTGCCTCATCGCCTTTTAAACCTTGGCTGGCGAGGCAACCAGTCTCCAGCGTCTCTCGCTTTAGAGATTCAGAAATGCTTCTAGAAGGGCGAGTGCTGTAGGGCGTTTTGGATCTCTAAAGTACAAGCAGAGAGATCAGTATAGTGGATGTAAGAAATGACCACGAAGTGTTCTTTAGAGACTAAAGAAGAAGTCCATGACCCTTGATTATGTTATCTTTTGGGTGGGAGAGCTTATCTTTGAAACCACCAAGCTGGAATTTCATCCGAGAGCACGGTATACAAAGCTGAATATGTTCTAAGGTTATAAGCTTACGTGAGCTGAATTCGTTTTTTTTTCCAGCTGTAACAGTAGGGCCTTTATTTACGAGGAAAATAATCTGCGACTTATATGAGACGTGAACTTATCGTATAAAGGGTACCTTTCCACTTTTATACACCGCTGCTCATAGTTTTTAGCGTGTCTTTAATAAGCCGCTGCCAAGAGAAAATAAGGGAACAGATAGAAGAAATGAGAGCGTTGAATATGTCGGTGTAACTTAAGTTATTTTTGGCTTGGGGCGGAAAGCAAAGTGGTTTCCTAACGTAGTTTCTTCAGGATTCCCGAATTCGGTTTAATATTAAAATAGCGAGTATCCTTGCTCTTCTCTAATACATCAATCTTACTTACAGGTGACAAAGGCTCACTGAAAAGAGGACGGATGTTTTTCATTTTCCGTTAGAGAAAGGCCATATGCGAAACGAAAAGCGATGCGTTACCTTTGCGAGTAAACCATTACGTAACAACCGTTTGATTTAGCGAAATGTGACTCTCACCTCGCAGCAAATGGAAGTGTTGTGTTTCAACAGCTTATTACTTGGGCTTCCCATGGAAAACCCTAAGGCAAGAGATTGTAAACTGTTAATAATCTCTTTCCCAAGGTTCTTGTGGTTTTCTTGTGGCACAAGGTTCATGGTTTTTAACAAGTTCAAACTCAAATTCTAACCATGACGTTCTTTCAACTGAATCATTTTACCATGAAATAGGGTGTTTGAGAGGACAATATCAGTTATTCTTTTATCAAAACTTGCGTCTCACGGTCGCCTTCATCTCACGTATACTTACGACCTTGAAACGTATCCAAATACCGGATTTCCTAGAATAAGCGCCAGTGCGATTATTGAGGATAAAACGAACATTCCACGAGTGGCTTTTCCTGTCCACTGTTTTCAGGTCGAATTGGAATTTAGAATATTGGTTTTTGTGGAGCGAGGAAAACCCGAGGACACGGGCGAAATCCCTCGGAGCAAGGACGACTGAAAACCAACAACAAACTGAAGCCACGTCTAACATGGGCCAGGTCCAGGAATTTAACTCTCACCACTGCGCCATCCCTGCTCTGCTTATCTGAAAACTCGGCTAAAGAAAGAGGAACTTTTTGGAAGAAGCGCGCGTAACTGAGGGATGTACTTATTCATTACCAAATGTGTTCTTCAAACGCATCTCAATGACTTTATTATCTAAGATTGTTTGGTCCTCGAAGGCCAGAGAATGGTCTAGTTGTTCCTGAGAAGTTAACAGCGTATACCAAGAGCGCGGCAATTTGACAAATAATTAAAAGAAAAGCAAGCACATGGAAATAGAAAAACCAGGAATTGACTTAACTAAAATGAAACAATTCTCCTGTATTGATTCAAGTTGTAGTGGATAAAGTGGCAACAGAAACAGCTTGATTTTTCTATGTAAGAAAGTGAGAGACGGGGGGGAGGCGAGGGGTGCTTGTTGACATTATGGCCAAGGCGCATACTGCGGATTTTCGGTAACTTGGTTGAGCAACGAGACGATCTTTGATTAAAAGGATTTCCCAGTCCGCAAAAGTGTCAGTTACTTATGGATCTAGCCATTAATGTTGACTTAATAATTGAAATAAATCAAACAGCCAATGGACTCTAACCGTGTCTCACGTCTCGTGTTTTTCATCTGATCGTATACAATCGAAGCCATTGACAATATTGTTGGGTTTGTGTCCAAACTCGAATCATTTTGTTCAAAGATGCTAAGGATAAACTCTAAAAAGGAAATTTATAATTGAAGATTTGCGTGTTGAAGATAAAGATCGATTTAACGAACAGATAAAGTAAAGAAAATACCGAGTTGTTTACGGTCTCACCTCGTGAGATTTTTCCGAAAGCTTCCTTGTGATACAAGAGTCCACTACGCGCGTCAAGCGCTCAACGCAGCTCCGTGGCTAAGAGAATTTGGTCATCTATCGAGCGAGTCTGTCCGTTCCCAAACTTTCTTTGGCATGCGCGGAAAGCTACACAACGAGCGGAATGCGGGGTATCAAACGAGGACGCTCAAAGTGGATGAATAATGCTTTTTCGTGAGCGATCTTGATCGACAGGTTCTGCACGAACTTTGTTGTTGGTAAACAAAATAACAACCGAAAAAGCCCAGTTGATTTACCGTTGCAGAATTCGCACTCTAAGCTACAGCACGTACAACTGATACAATCAATGATTTCGAAGCATATTTATTCGATTTTGTTCGCTATATAGTGACGAACTAGAGTTACCAGACCTACCAAACTTGGGCACCACTAGTTAAATTACTAAAATGCTTTTGTAATCCAAAACCGAAGTGGTAAAAATATTTGAAGGTTTTAGAATATGCCATATTTTGGAGAGCGGGAATTTGGACCTTGAAAATTAATCTTTAATCTATTGCTATATTGTTGTGAGGACAAGTCATACCTCTTGCCACCGAATGGCAGCAAAGCCCGGGGCAGGGGGCTGTCTTATGCTGAAAAGGACGTTAAGATTACGTTTTCCCCTGATGTTATGCGCTTTCCTCCAAACCTTCCTAATGACTGGAAACGAGTCTGAAGCACATAATGCTACCATGAAAACTTCCCAAGACTCAAATATGGAGCGATGCATATTCAATGGCTCCGAAATAGATTAATGAAAAATAATTCGTGAGAGAAATTGCGAAAAAACTACGGCTCCCCATCCGAGTCATAGGCTTGGAAGTTTCTACATACTGTAAAAATACCTTATGCACTGGTATGTGTTACAAATTCTGTCTACAAAGGTATTCTACACTTTCTTGTGTCGTTTGCATCTCATAAATTTGACGATTGTTAAAAAAAGTTCTAGCTACAAAAGAAATAACTCTTATAAAAATACCTTTTTGTTCTCTTCGACTGAAAGCCTTTATACAATTGGATGAATAAAATAAGTAATAGCATCAAAAATGAAAAGATTTTCGCGTATGCCTTCTTTGAAGCTATACAAAATATTACATTAAAAATAGCACTACACAAAAATATCCCTTGACTTGCTGTCAGAACACCCCAACAATTATCACGGAGAAACTTTTTCTATCGGGACATCCCGAGCGCTTGTAAATGAAAGAGATAACACCCTAATGAAACCGTGGATAAGTCAAGTGAGGTCCAGTTGAAATTACAGAGATTCTAGAATTATGCGTCTGAGCAATTTAGCACCAATTTTAAAATATCTTAACTATTACATCACTTTTCCAAGAAAATACCCATGAAAATTAAACATTATTGCAGAAACAAAATTAATACCGTGATCGAAACAATCGTTCCTTTCCTTTTAAGTGCACTTGGGAAGCACATTTTAACTTCAAAGAACCACTACCAACAACTCATGAACTTCACTTCGTTATGGCATGAAGTTCTCTTTCCGTACAGGGTTTTTTTTTCATTCATCGAGAATAAAAGATCACTGTATCTATTTCTTGAGTTGTCTGTTCTCTCTATCTGATGAGAAATGGTGCTGACTTCTCCAACAAAGAGGGCATTGAATCTTTTTCATAAATAATGTTAAAGGGCTCTACCAGCTCTCTGAGACAAGAGGCATCACGTAATATGCAACACTTTGTATAGCACTTGTCTTGTTTGTGAAGATATTCCAGCATTTTCGCATCACTTGAAGTTCGCATAATCGCTGAAGGAGTCCACAAACAATCGTACCATTTCGTAACAGAACTTGTACTGCTCCTGTAATGGAAAAGACAGTCAAAGATTAGCAAGATGCCGATATGACAAGAATAATAAAGTGTATCCACAGAAATCAATTACCTAATGATTATGCATTCAAAAACTTTAATTTAGTAGTTCCACCTGGCATAAATTGTAAAAAACTGTGTCGAGGATCGACGGCGCTGGGTAACAGCAACATGCTTTTCAAGGTTCCACAAGGAGCAAGGGGAAATGGGTCACAAAATAGCAGGAGCAAATTGAACTTAAATAACCTAGAGAAAGTAATTGTTGGCTAGAGACGAGAATGGAGAGAGGGGCAAGGGTCTGAAAGAGGTATTATACACCTTACGCCCTTTTGCTCATCAATAATCCCACCCCACTCTGCTAATCAGTAATCATCTTAGGCTTTAACTGATCATTTTCATGCAAAAATTATCTTTTTTATCACATCTTAAAGCATCTTTACAAGCGGCTCTGTCGTGTGCATCTTGCAAATATTTTGAACAAATTCTTCAAATTTGTTTTTTACAATCCCTGTTGATCTTCTTCATTTAAAAGCGTCCCTATTCCTAAACTGCTTATAGTTATGTCTTAAATATTTGCTTTCTTGCCATTATTTCATTTAATCGTTTCCTTCAATTTATCACTTCTTTTCTAAAGCGAAAAAAAGGAACGTGACAAATCGTGGCATGGATTCATACAACAAAAAGAAGATTACGGTCGTAAACTTCGTTTCAGCCGTTATTATATTCCCCCTCAGAGTCACAAGACGTTTAAGATGCTTATTGGAATAAAGAATATCATCATTTGATTTTCCTTACCGCTGTCTGTACCATAAGAGGTCTCTGAGTACGCAAGCGCCGTACGGTCTGAAACATGTCTACTGAACCATCAAGTTTGACCCGCTCCAGCGCTATATTAATAGCGCAGAAAGTGCCAGTACGACCACTTCCATCACTAGAAGAGAGGGAACCAGAAATGAAATTCGTCTCCTTTGCTTATCATGGAGTAATAACCAAATTATAAAATATTACCGTACTAGACAACGTTCAATTGGCCACGTGTTTATGTTTCCTGAAAATATTTAGTTGAAACTATCAAAACTGCCATTCGCAATTCAATTTAAGCCAGTGAGCAAAATCTTAGTTCGCTGCTCTAAATATTCAAATTTGCAAAGTTTAGAACTAGAACACTGACAACAAAATAAATGAGCCTATTGACGCCTAAAGCAACGTGGGACTGCGCATTTTCCAGCGGATGATTTTTAAATTCAACATAGATGTGGACCTAAAAATTGCACGACCTCATCTTATTTTGCAGATGGAACATTTGAAGAAATTGGTGTCAATCCAGAGAATGGTCAAAATTACAAGATTTGATGGGATCAATGTCAGTATTAGAAGAGCTACACACCTACCCCTCCCCTAACCCAAAAACAGTCAACTCATAACAAGTTAGGATTAATGTTGGGTTAAGGGAGGGGTAGGTGCGCAGTTGCTCAGATACTGACATTGATCCGTCTCATGTGATACTTTCAAAGGGTTTACCTGCAGTGGACGACTATTGGTCCATTGCCTGTCTGCTGCTGCACCCTTGTGATACATTTCATCATGTCAAGAAGCCCGACACCATTAAGAGGAATTGAGCGCTCTGCCCAGTCCGTGAAATGAAAATGATAAAGGGTGCGCTCTTCACCGCTCTGCAAGAGAAAGCATTGAATCACGATATTATTACCCTGTAGGGAAGGTGCCTTTTAAGGCACTTTAATGTTGCAAGCTCGCGATCGGCTATTCGACCGGCCATGTTTGATTTAGAGCTAGAGTGGACGGTAAGGGTAAGGGGGGCGGAGAAAGGGGTGAATTTCTATTAACCCAGCCCCCACCCCTCTCCTTCCTTTAGACCGTCTTTCACCCCCCTAGATTCAAATTTCTTTCTCTTCCCAGCCTTCCGCTTCTGTAAAATTCAAAAATGGCCGCTATTACTTTCACCAAGAAAATTCCGAGCCCTCGCTCGCCACAATTACGCCAGCTCTGCAAGCTACGATGTTATCGAATACGATGTTTAAAGCTATCGTGAGCGTGTTTCAATTAGTGTCGTGCGACCAAAACCAAAGTAATAATGACAGACAGACGGAAAAAAAGTGGACTATCATGAGGCACCGTTAAGAACTCATGAAGAAAAGCTGGCTTGATCGCTGGCGCGCGGAACTTGTTATCCAAGGGTCCTTCTTCGAGCCTTAACCCTTTAACCCCTAAGAGTGACCAGCTTCTAATTTCTCCTCACAATATCACCCCTGAATCAAACATTAAGGTCATGAGAATCAAGGAAATGATCACCAACTCATAAAGCTCTTGATCTTTAAACAAATTCTCCTTGTCAGCGCTTCAGGAAATGTATAGAGGCAGTAAGGAGAATATGAACACTGATGTTAGGGTGTAAAGGGTTAACCCCGGCGGTGAGTTATACGTCGCTTATATGCTACGTTCTCTACTGAGACAACTCTGGTCTGGAGACACTTTTTCCAGTCCTCAGGAAACAGCGGCTGATGGTATCAACCGCTGTTTCCTGTATGGAGGTTTCATTACTGGTCAATTCACTGGAACAGTAACGGCAAAGGTTCTTCAAACCATAGACATCAAGTTACGCACAATACAGCAAACACACCCATATAGTTTTCCTTAGTTTTCTTTCCATCGTAACGAACGCAAAAAGAAAATGTTTATTTTTTCACCTTTGTGTTCGTAATTTTCAGTTGTCTTCTACAGAAACCATTTCTCAGATCTTCCGCTTCAATCTCGATCATCAACAAACCATAAACAATGAACTCCTCTTTGTGAGGCAAATAAGATGCACAGATTCCCTGAAAACGACAAATGAATGCAGCAAATCAGGTAAATCAGGCAAACAAACAAACAAACACACAGACAACTGAAAATTAAAGAGAAGTCTGCACTAAAGCCAAGTAGCCCACCAAAAAAAAATTAAGGAAACGTTGAGTAGAAATTGCACCCAATTAGATATCAGACTTAAAACAAAAATCAACTCCCAAACCTCTTCTCTCTCGTTCTGTGTGCATAACATGACAATGCAATTAGCTTCATATTCCCAGGTCATTCGCCAGAAATCAACGACCGTAGTATCCAACGGGGCCTGGGTGGCAATGAATGCCTCGCGCTGCTGGAAACTCTAAAACAGATAGAAAAAAAAACAACGGAGACGGTGTGGTTGGAATGAAAACAACACACAACTGCCAAAACAATTTATGGGCACTTGTAGTACAAACCGAAACCCGAAAGCTAAGCGTGAGTTCTTCCTATCTCTCTGCTTTTCAAACCAGTCAAGAGAATTCGGTGTTGTACCAAGATAACCCTCTGATTCTGATCATATCTGTAATCGCGAAACTTATTGTCAAACCGTTTCCTGTGTGTATTGTGTTTACGTGTTAATTACCAGTGAGTGTTTGTATGTTTCATTAGTTGTATTGCGTACTTTTGGTTGATGTTTGTATCGTTGCGTGATGTACGTAATTAAGTCGAGTAATTTGTCACGTTTTGTGTAAAAAGTTAGTCCTGTGGACCAATGTTCATGCCCACTTTGTAAAAAAGCAGCGTCGTCGTTTTTGTTTTTCTCCTGTAAAGCTGTGCACCGTTAAGGTATATATTTTGCCGTATTGTGAGTTTATTTGTAAGTTTCCGTTCTCTAATATGTATTTTCCTACTCATGTTTAATACCGTAGGTGTGTAGATGTTTTAAATAAATGATGAACACAATTACGCGTAACTTCGGTTCCAATAACTTTAATCTCATTTTCTTCTTATCCTTATTTTCTCTCTTTCTTTTCTTTTGCCTTCGATGCATCATATTTAGTAGTTTAAACATGACCCGCCTGGATAAGTTTAACCCTTTGACTCCTAAGAATGATTAGCATCTAATTTCTCCCCACAATCTCACCCCTAAAGCAGACATTAAGGTCACGAGAATAAAGAAAATGATCAGTAACTTGGGAAGCTGTCGTTCATCTCACCTTAAGAAATGTGTGGAGGAAACAGTGTGGAGAATATACATACTGATGTTGGGGTGTAAAGGTTTCACTACCTGCTAGTCTATGCTTTTGATATAATTATTAACAATTATTATTTGAATAATGATGTACTCACGTCTACAAAACTTGCGTTTATGTAATCAGACCCCACCATACCCGTGAAAGGCCACAGTTTTACTCTTGATCGATCAACTGGAGAGAAAATAGAATCATATAAAGGTAATGTATATTACGTATGAAGCAATCTATTTTGTTCTCAATTCTTACGGAAATAAATTACATCGACCCTTCGGCAGAGAAATGAAGCAAAGAATTGATCATCGCAGGTGGACTGAAATTCAAGCAATTGCAAAACAGAAACCTGAAAAAAGACTCTCTACAAACAATTTCAACTTACATGGGAGTATGGCAAATCTGTTCTTGGATTTATTTTCAGGCTGAGAGGCGCTGATGAATGAATCGTAATCTGAGTCACCCAGGCCAAGGTTCTGCATGATAACATCAATCAATGAGTACATATTAGTAAAACATTGCTACTACTATTAATAAAATACTGTAAGCGAGAACTCTTCTTCACAAAGTACCTTCGAAACGACACAAACCAGGAAAAGGAATAAAAGCACTTTCAATTCCTTAGCTATTGTTTGCTCAGTATGCCTATGTATATCCGTAGAAAACTATTAAGATAAAGCCTTGAGCTTCTTTCATCCCTTATTAAAGAAGTTTAAGTTTCCAAAATGACATCGGCTTACACCCTTAAGAAATTGATGAAAGATCGCCTAACCCTTGAACCACTAAGTGTCACAAGAATCAAAATTCTCACTGCAGATTACTGCTGAATCAAACATTATGATCAGAAGGAGCTGTGTTGTCTCCTGAACGGTGAAACATCAAAACCTCACAAAAACACACTTTTGAGAAGTCTAGTACTTTCTAATAATTGTTTACACCTCACTGCATCCCCAGATCGGTCGGAAGACCCTCTCACGAACTCCACGAAATCTACTGGTTTAAAGAAGTTTAATACCTTGAATTCCACCACCAGAAGCGAATCTCCACTGTCTGGATCAATGGTGTTAAGAACACGCAAATTCTCTGGTAGGTCACGCACAGCAAATTCTGTACTGCCACATGTGACATACTCCACCAGAGCGTCATGGATAAATACGTACTGGGCCTGTCGTAGAAAGATTAAACAAATGAATAAATAAATAAAACCGTCCACGTCTAAGAAATCATTATATCAGAAGTCCTTCCAAAGGAACCAGTCATTATTTATCGCACGGGGAGGGGGGGCCTAAGAAACCTTTCTATTGAGAGGGAGGGGGAGGGGGGATCACATGGTTTTCAACGGAAACGGACGGTGATCAGTCAGTATTCATGGGGGGTGGGGGTTCTCATGGTTTTAAGGGTAGACAAGGGGATCAGTCAATATTTATCGAGGGGGGGTCTGAGAGTCTTTTATTCTAGAGCCTATGGGCATTAAGTATATTTTAAGTGACACAACTAAATTCCTCCGATCCCCCCCCCCCCCCCCCCGCGTTAAATTATGTCATACCTCTGTCTGCACCATGGCGCTTCTCTGTTGACGGATATGACAGACAAAACCATAGATGTCTACCACCCCCTCAGCATCTATTTGGTCCAACATGGCGTCAAGTACAATGTATGTCCCGGTGCGTCCTACACCAGCACTGCAAAATAAATGGCACAGGCCAATAAATATCTTTTATCATAACAACAGTGTCTCTACGAAGAGGAAGAAGGATACAAAAACTTCCAATACAAAATATAAAACAGGTTAAACGCAAATTTAAAAAAAATTTCCTCTTCGTCTATTTTTCAAGGGAACTTTGCCCGTCTACCTCGCCGCAATGTTTCGACTCATTTCTGTGGCTGTCGTTAGAGCGTAACGGACGACAGCTGCGAAAAATTCTTTTCAATGTCCCATCTCATTACCTGCAGTGGGTCAAAATGGGCCCAGAATCCTCTGGCACAGAGGCACGGACCTTCTTCAGGAAAGCAAGCAAGGAGGTTGCGTGGGTAGGGACCCCCTGATCAGGCCAAGCCGTGAAGTGATACTGTATCACCTCACGAGCGCGATACTCGGCTGTGTCTGAGGTCTAAGAAAGATAACAAGGAAAGTCAGTATTCTAGCTTATATGCACCTTAGTCAACTCGCAGTTTCCCTGTATTATCCTATGTAGCTGGGTAGATATCTTGTACTTTTTTTACACACGTACTTCAAACGAGCTCACAGATCTCAGACTTCAACTGTCCAAGAAATCATTGAATCACAAACGGATTGACAGAACGACTAACTGACTGACTCACCGCTGACTGACTGTTTCAGTCACCAACTTATTGTCTGACTAACTGACTGGCTGACCCATAGAGTGACTGATCGACTAGCTCACTAGCTGATTGACAGACTGACCGACTGACTCACCGACTAACTGTCTGGCTGACCTCCTCAGAGACTGACTCAATGACTGGCTGACTCAACTGACTAAATCATTCACGGACTCATATAGGCTCACTGACCATCTCACTGAAAGCAACGTAGGTACAAATAATCCAAAACAAACTCACCATCTGAACAGAAAACTTTCTAATCACATAGTCAGCAAGTTCTTCCTCATCACCCGGAGAAACCAGGACAGGACCGTACATTTCTGGACTGGCGCTCGGCCAATACTTCAGACACTTTATCTAAAGACAAGTATTCTTGATTTAAAATTCTACTTCCATTCTGAGTGGTTCTTTCTACCTATGACCTATGTATTTATCGGGATTGCCTTGGTGGCAGTAGGAGTTTAGTATCTCAAAGTCACAATCACAGGTTTTCTTGCTATAAAAAAAAACGTTTTTTGTTCTCTTATACCTTTTCTTAGGAAAAAACACTCCCTCTAAAGCGACAAGCATCACTGCACTGGCGCGCAGTGTCAATCAAAACTCAACTACGTTCAGGCCCAGTCTCCGTCATACTATCAAAATAATGTTCAGTTTAAATGTAGTTTAACCTACCCGTCCTCCTTCCACCATGTTTGTAACCATGACAATGATACAAACGCCTTGGTCCCAGACCGTTCGCCAGAAGTCTCCAAATGTGCTAGCAACAGGACCTGAAATGTATGTATAAGACGTATATGGAAATTGCCATCGCGGAGCGGAATGGAAAAGAGGGGGAGAGGTGAGTTAGAGAATTGTCTCGTACCCCAATATGTGGCACTATGGTCAAGAGCTGTTGTCGAGTCCTGAGGTCAAACCTCAGGTGAAAGGAAAAATAAAGGCCTCGTTAACGCCCTCATAACCCACGTCCGTCTCTGATAGCTTTTGATCTCAAACGAGCAAAACTGGGTGGGGGATCATTTCGTTGGCGTCCAGCCTACATTTACTTTACAAAAATTCCTTAATAATTGGTAGCGTCCTAGAATCCATGACAAAAACCCAACTGCTCAAGTAAATATTATGAGTGAACGTTCAGCATCATTGATGGCAATCGAGTGGGACATTCCCATGGCAAAGGTAGGTTGTTCCATCGAAGCAGAAAGAACACAAAGAAACTCAAACCTTGTGTAGCAATGAACTTGCAGTGATGATTGTAACCCTAAAAATAAAAAATAAACAAATAATAGTCAATAAGGAACTTATCAGGTAGTCCAGTTAACATTGTCAGGCCGGGAGAGACCTGAGTGCAACTCATGGGAGATACTTCACAACCTTATTTTTGCAACTGTGTACAATTGTTATCGTTGCTATAACTGCTTCAAACCTCACACCTTAGTCCAACGCTCATAACACCCAAATATCAGTTTGAATATTCACCATGCTGTGCACGACATAATTCCTATCGAACTGACAGAGAGAATACGTAATAATCAAGAGCTTCTGTAGTTGGCAATCATTTCCTTAATCCTCATGGCCTGAAGTTTTGATTTGGCAATGATCTCGAGAGGAAAAATTAGATACCGATCATTGTAGAGGAATAAAGGTTTAAACATATCGTTACGGTTGTTATTTTTGTTGTTGTACTTACATCAATGAAGTTGGCATTGATGTAATCACTTCCTGGATAACCATCCAACTCCACTAATTGCACCCTCGTGTGGTCATCTGCAAATGAGTCAAAGAAGAGCAACACAATTGTGACGGTTGGCCTGACGTGAAGTTTATCAAAAAGCCTAATGCCCGACAAATATACACTCTTTCAGATAGTTACCAATTATTTACCGAAGTGGAGGTGAATAGTACTGGATATTCACCGAGCCACGAAGCGGCGAGGTAAATATCCACCACTTTCACTTAACACTGAGGTGAATAATTGTTTTATTATATACCACACAGCAACCAAAAATATAGTTTCTCTATTTCAATACACCAAAAATGTTAGAAATTAAATTTTTGACGCGCGATTTTGTCTCTTCGGCTGCCCGGGAGGTGAATAGTACTTCCTAAGCGCTTTCGAACTAGCCAATCAGCGTGGGCGAAAAGCACTATTCACCTGTGTGGTATATTCTTATGCGTATCATACGCAGTGCCTGCCACGTTTCATTTTGTTCCTGTAACAAAAGGAAAGGGAAATTATCTTAATTCTTAACGGAAATAAATAATTGTATGACCCAAGAAATAGTCATAAGGAAATACCTGAGTAACTGAGATTCGGGAGTGATAAGGGGGAGGGGGTAGGGGTAGAACCCTCTCTCCCCTCTCTGGCTTTCTTTCTTTCTTTCTTTCTCTCTTTCTTTGTCTCTTTTTAGGTAATTTTGGGCCACTTTTAATTAAATTATAGAGATTAGCTTCTGGTTATATGGTATACTGGACTTACATGGAATAATGTTCTTGTATCTGTTCTTGGCTTTATTTTCTGGTCTCTGGCTGCTCTCCCATGTGAAGTTTCCTGGTACCCGGATGGACTGCAGTTGGAAAATCAACAAAAAAATCAGAAGTTATGATTCAGCGTACAGCTTATAACAATAAGTGGGGTTTGACCCAACGAGTAGGTTAATAAGCTGCCGGAGACGAGTTCTTGGTCAATGGAAATGAGGAAAAAAAAAGAGAGCGAAAAACGGCAAGAGCCTGGGTTAAAGGAAGTCCTCTGTTACTCTCCTCAGACCCCCTTCTTTTTCACCTCGCAACCTCCAATTTCTCGTCTGTCCCCTCGAGCTCAAACCGAAATCCTTGAAGAGAACTGACGACCAAGTGTAATGATGAGCAATCATTCTCAGAGGATGACGTTTATCTATTGGCAAAAATGACTTCTGTAGAAATTCACCCTTAGCTACTAACTCACCACAAACTCTTCTCTAAATGCCTTGTTGCCATCAGCTTGATTGATTTCACAGTATTCTCTCAGCTTTTCAATAGGAATGGGTTTGATTGTTACAAACTTTCCTGGACCCACTACATCTGCAAATTAAATGAAACAAGATTTTATGTAACACGTGATACATCCATTAAGGAACGTCCAGTGATTTCTATATCACCCATCATAATGACTGCAGGATCTGCCTGACTTAAAAAAAAAGTATACACATTTTCATCGCTCAAAGGTAGATGAATTTTTCAAACTTTAGCTATAAGTTTAAGGTTAATATGATAACTCTAAAAAAACGATTGGCATCCCTTTGAATTTTTGGATTTGGTGAAGACCAAACGACTGGGTGGAAAGTGTGTGACACCAGAGTGTGGTAATCAACTGACTAACCAGATTGATTGATCAGCATTTTTTCTCCACAGAAATAAAGGTATTTTTTCTCCAAGATTGACTGTCTTTTTTGTGCACTCTTCTCCCGGAAAAGGCTATTTTAACCTTTAAACCTAAGCTTTACCTGAATTGCCATGTGGGTCATTCAGATTGGCCAACTGGGTCTTAAGTTTAATGTATTTTTCTTCAGCTAATACACCCGACCACTACTGTTCGTTAGATGATAGGGATTTTAAATTTATACAAATTCACTCTACTTTATTGCTGAAAACACCATCTTGTTTTAAGGGCTCTTTGGTTTTTAAGGCCTTTTAGAGCATTTTTATCATAGATTTCATTTCTTACTTGCTTTAAATCACAAGTAAAGTTTAAAGTTACTTCTACCTGTTTGTAAAATTTTTAAAGTCAATCAAGGTTCGTAGAAAGTGTACAGGGAGAATTAGCGACACAACTTTGTCCAACCGCAAAAGTTTCAGCATTCTTGATTTGTGTGTATGTCAATATCTCTTCCATTTCAACAGGAATGCAACAGTCGGCACCTTGCCTCCTAAATAGGCAACAACTCCCCACCCCACCCCACCCCCTTTCCCAGGTAACAACTCCTCACCCCACCCCACCCCCTTTACCAGGTAACAACTTCCCACCCCACTCCACCACCTTTCCCAAACGGTACATCTGTACTTTTAGGAAGAAGCCCATCCAGCTGAAGCTCGTCGCAAATGGATGGAAAGAATGGTTAGTCACCTGTTTCCAGTCACAGGTTAGTCAGCCACTTTAGAAGTTCACCCAGCCCCCCTAAAAGATCACTGCTACCCATTTGTACTCGTGAGTGAAGAGAGACACTGTGATTGTTAAGTGTGTCGGCCATGAACACAACACAACGACCCTACCAGGTCCAGACCCCTGAACCCTGAGTCCGACGCCCCAACCAATAGGATAACGTGTTTTTTCATAAAACAATCCCAGTTCCAACCCTCTCTACCTGACTTGCGGTGTGCAATGTTTTCGTTTAACAATGACCTAGAGGAAAATAATTCGAACAGTACCGTAGTGCAACAGTAGAGGTCCTCAACTATCTGTATCTGTGAGGAACAGTAGATGCAAATTCACGGGTCAATAGCCAGTGAATTGATCAGTCTTCTCAATTATAAAACATTTAAGGTCATAAATTTCTAATTGAAGATTTTCATTTTAATCATTAAAGCTTTATTCTCTGGCTTGTAAAAATGCTGGCTTTTTAATTACCGAGTTGGAGACCAAGGCCAGGTCGTTTAAAGCTGGGTTAAGATAACCCAGGGTTAGTGTGAAATTGGATTTCAGCTCTGAAAGCTTTAAAAGAAAATTCATTGCAAGTTTGTTTCGCTACAAGCTGATGAATGGATGCTCTAAAAAGAATAGAGAACATTATCCCAAAAAGGCTTTGAACAAAGGAATGAACAAACCTGGATTAAAATTTAACCTTCGGTTAGTGCTAATTGACCTTTGAACATTTGGGCAGTGACCCAAACATTGTGTGTGCACCCAGGGGTATAAAAGGGTAACCTTACAATAGACTGACATCCCATCCAGGGGGGAGTAGCAGTACTCCTTGTCACCTCATGTTATGGAAACTGGGATAAGCTTTACCTACCTACCATACATTTTATGTTTAATATTCAATTTGAATGATCCTACAGGCATTTTACTTAAATACAAAGCTGAAACTTTGCACTGGAACACTCAAATTCTGATTTAACCTCATCGAGTATTGTAAGAAAAATTGTACTGTAGTCTTACATATTACTCTTTATCATTTATTTATTGTTCTTAATTAAGCAATCACCTGAACTTAAAGTGCATCTTTTCCAGGCCTCAGAGTTTCTTGATGTTTTATCTCCCAGCACACATCGTGTTTGTTGAAAATATTTTTCTAAAAAATTTATTTATCATTTTGGTTAGATTTATTTGAGATGTATCAGCTACTTCCACTTACCTCTGAGTCAATTACATCATTCGTCAACCTTAAGTATGTAATTTAAATCTTTATATATAAAAAAAGTTACTTATGTTCAGCATTCTCTGGTGGGATTTGGAATAAAATTAAATATATATTTTTTAAAATGTACCCTGCATTAATTTTTGTCTCAAAGAAAAAATTTCCTGAGCCTAATTCATCAAAATTACAATTTAGAGCCGTTTTCAATTGTGTGTTAAAGAACATTTGCCAAAGTAATAGCAACTAACAATCAGAGCAAATGTTAACGGCATGTTCAACCAATGAGAACTTAAAGTAAAAACTGGCAATCTGCTTGAAGCGCGGGAAAACGTGAGTGATCATATTAGGATTGGTTTAAGTTTTGTATTTGATTGGTTGAGATGGTGGCGTGAGTTTTTTCTAGACCAATCACAGATTAAAGTAAGGCAAACCCAAAGCAAACCAGGGTCGCTTTCAAAACTCAACGGAAAATTGTTCTGTTTGGAAATCATTATTACCCATCTGTACAAGTGCATTTTACAGCGAAATAAACTTCTCATCACTCAACAAGCACTGTTGACACTAGAGCCAACCAAGAAGCATGGCAATCCTTCAGAGTATGCAGAAGGGATTGGAAGCAATTGTGAAATAATAGTTGTAACACTTTTTCTGTTTGATATCTTTCTAAAATTTGCAATTAGACAGGAAGTGAAGGTACCAAAAAACCCACAAAACTCAGATTTGATAAAAAAAAAATTTCCTAAAATTTTGTAAACCACAAATCTCACTTTATTTTTTTCAATGGGCAATGTGCTTTCACGATTTGAAAGCCATAATAAATCACTTATAAATGAATAAGTACTCCATTCTATAACTTACTGCAATGAATAAATGAAAATAAAAGGTTTCTTGTGGTTCATTCAAACAAGACAATGATTGATAATAAAATTTGTTTACTAAAGTGCAAATTTATTCAGTATTTAAAGCAGTTCAATTCCTGTTGTTTGCAATATCAAGGAGCCTCATTTAAGAATACTTTTATTGCACCACAGCATTTTATTCATGAGTGGGATAATTCACTCTAAAATCAAATTCTACAGTGTTCAGGTAAAGTATTGCATTTGAAAATTATACGATAATTTGTTAATTTCAAAATTTAATTATTTACAATATTTATCAATATATTCTTATGTTCGTCATATTGAAGTCTCGCAAACATTAATTAAGAAAAAAAAAACTCCCAAATTCAAAAAATCTTCTAGATTTCAGATGATAGTGAGGTGTTAGCATGATTCAAAACTGTTATAGTTACATGAATATTAGCACAAAAAAGTGGGAAAAAATGATTAGGCATTTATTGTAAGGTTAATTATGCATGTTAGTTTAGTGTGGTTAGTGTAATAGGTATGTCACATGCTGCAAGAAAATTAACAATGTGTGCATCTGCCAATAAAAACCATTAAAACACAATCAAAGGCCAAAAACTGAAAATTTAATAAAAAATAAAAATTAAAAAAAGTTAACATTTAATTTAATATTTAAGCATGAAAAAGTAAAATAAAAAGTTATGCAAGTGCAACCTTAGTTGAACTGAAAATGAATTGAAATGTTAAGATAAAATTCAATCTCATGAGGAACCATTCAACTCCTCCACAATATTTTTACAAGTTAATAATATAAACATAATTTAGGACTTTTTCCTCAATATTTATCATTTTATTGTCCACCAGACACCTGTTCCAATGTTCCACTGTTCTACAATGGAACTGTTTTATCAATTATGATTGCTATTAACAAAGGTTTGACCTTTCAACCAATCCAGTGGCTGTCACAAAATTTTCCCGAGGAAACCTTAAAACATTAATCCCCAAGAGAAAATGATCTCCAATTTAAGAGGCTCTCAATTGCCAAACAAATTCTCCTTGTCAGTATCATGGAAAATTTTAAGAGCACAGTTTGGAGAATACAAATACTGATGTTGAGGTGTACAGGGTTAAGAGTAGAATCTCTGGGCTTCATTGCCAACTCTAGTATTTCAAACTTCCCTACTGGCACCATGTCATGGTCACACCTTTGTTATTAGTCAGGTGTTAATTGCAGCCAATTTTTAACCCTAATGAATTTGAAGCTGGGTTCTCCAAATTTTACATTTTCTATTGTTCCATTAGTTCCATACCAAATCTTTACACCTGAACTACGTTGACCAGTATTGTAATTAACATTACTTGGTATAAGGGTTTTTAAAATATCATGTTTTTTGTTAAACCAATTATTTCCAAAACTCTTTACTTGTAAAAAGCTTTAATGGCAATTCTCATTATATTTACAGATTATGAAATTTTTTTGCTGGCAGAAAAAGGTTACATTATTTTGAAGATATACAGTAGTAGCTGTTTTATAATGTACAGTTGCAATAAAGAAGAGAAGTTTATCAATTTCAAATTATACAAACATGTATACTTTCATTGTAATAAACAATATTTTGGAAAATTGAATTTCATCTTACAGAATTAAGATGTATTAAATTTATATTTCATATACTACAATCAATTTAACACTTTAAGTTAGGACCAAGGCACCTTAAAGCAATTTCCAATTACTATCTATTTTAGGCTATATGTTGCCTTAATATCTATGTCCAGCACACAATGGTGTTTGTTTTTTCCTGGTTTTTGGAGGCAATTTCTCCTAAAAATCCTATTAAAGTGCTTACTGCTAATGACTCCATCTGCTGAAATAAAAAGCTCTAAACCAAGAGAAATCCATTGATCACCTTATTGCAGCAGATAAATCTTCCATTAAGTTATCCCAAATGGTGGGACAATCCTTGATTGAAGATCTGTAGCATGCATTGTACAAAATACAAATCAAGAAGCTTTCCATACTAACTAAACCCATGATTCCGAACCTTCTGATCCACGTCGCCCTTGAAGATACTTGATCCCAGGCACACGGTCAAGAGAGTCCTTATCTCCTATCCCACTGTCATTAGAGTTAGCCACAGCATAACGATTGTTCTTGAGTTCTGTGGAATCTCTTCGTCTTCTGTGTTTTCTGTTGATTAAATTCAATGAACTCTGATAAGAGTCTAAAATTTTCCCCCATCCATGGTTTCAGAACTGGCATACAATCACAAACAAGTTAAAACTACACACTAACACCACAACATTCAAAGCACCTCTCAATTCTCTTGAACTAAAGATGCCTACTTCCAGAAATCTGAAATCTTGTTACATTGTGGGAAATTCAAATGTAGTGGAGAAAAGTGGCAATAGGCCATTTTACAGTTGTGCATGTACTAAGTTGCCAAGCCTTTGATTTGGAGTGAGGCTGAAGGTGACCATGTTGTGATAGAGACCAGTATCTAGTTAGGGTGATAACAAAGTAATTTACATTTGAAAAGCAGCAACATTTGTATCATAACAAGGTCACCCTTAACCTCACTCCTGTTCAAGGGCTTGGCAACCAAGCACGCAACTGTAAAATGGACTATTACCCAACTGGATCTCTGCCACCTAGCCACATCTAAATATTTGTCATTTCTACAATTAAATGGAAGTATAAACTGGACATCTTACCTTATAATTAAAGCAATAATGATGATCGCAAAAGCCAAGATTATTATCCCAGCAAAAACTCCACCATACAATGATCCAGTGTCCACTCCAGTATGTTGTGCCACATCTCCTGGAGCAAGTACAATGATCAAATCAATTACAAAACTCACAATATTGATCATCAAACAATAGTTTAACATTATATTTTTTAAGGTACATGTAGCTAGTTGCACAGGGTTCTGTTTACAGTTTAAGACATGATAGAGTATATATCTCCAGCCTAACCTGGTGTTTTGTTGTATGTGACTGGAGAGCTGACCTCTCCTGGATAACTAGTAAAAGCTTGAACCTGTTGGGGGAAGAACACATCAGAAGCATCATTAATAACAGTTGATTAACAAGGATATTAGATATTTTGTGAATTTAATCTCTCATCTCAGTCATTAGGTAAATATAACACTTTGACCTCTAAGAGTGATTGGCATCTAATTTCTCCCTACAAACTACAATCCCTTGAATCAATTTTCAGGTTACTAGTCAGAATAAAACAAATGGTCAAGATCTAAAGAAGCTTTTGATTGTTAGGAATGTACACTGTCCTTGCGAACTGAATTCCCAGTTTTCTGGGAATTCCTTGGAATTCTCAAAAATTCCCAACTATGCAAATAACCCTTGGGAACTGAATTTCCAGTTTTCTGGGAATTCCTAGGAATTCTCAAACATTCTCAACTATGCAAATAAGCTCTGATTTGAAAAGCTTGGAATTACTAGGAATTTCTGGGAAAGGAAGACACCAGTTTTGCGAGGACTTGGAATTCCTAGGAATTCTCAGCTATAAAAACTACCTATAATTTAAGAAGGGTGGAATTCTTGAAAATTTCTGGAAATTGAATTTGAGGCAATTTAAATACCCTGAGGTCTGCATAAATTTTCAATACCTTGAATGTGAAGGTTTTAAGAAAAGGAGTAATTTTAGAGGCTTAAAACTTTGGCTCAATAAAAGGTATGCTATACTAAATTTACCAAGAGATATACATACATGTATATGATTATAACTTAAAGATCATGAAATTTATTATCCAAACTTAAAGTTTTAGTAAATCTCTACATCAGTATGGATTTTCTCATGAAGCAGCAGTTAATTACATTAAATGCAAATTACCAATTAATCCAATGCACTCATATCACAAATCTGCTTTCTAACCTCAAAGGACTTTTGGATTCCATGATCATAAAAGTTTTTATTGTAAGATGCAAAATGTCTCATGTTCACAGATGTGCCAAAATCACCAAATGTTCATCAGCTGTTCCTTGGTTACATTGTCACCTACACTTAAAGAACTTTGCTAGTTATGAACACAAGTTACTTCCCTAACCTACATTACTGGTTGCCTTTGTTAGAAAACCTTGTAACAGTCAAGCTCAGTTGCCTTAAACATTGTCAGAGACTTTTTGTTCTCATTATTTTTAGTAGAAATTTCATGCCTTAGACAAACAAATTCAACACCTAATTAATCTTTATTTTTTTTCATGATTGTTGTTACTGTTTCTTTTTTCAGTTTTTTAATCTGTTTTCGTGACTGATTGCTGTTTTTATTCTCACAAAACATTTTTGTAAGAGTTCCAATACTTGTGGATCATCTGCACATTTTGCAAACATTTGGCATGCAGACAAGACAGGGGTAGTCAATGTTCCCTTTGAAAAAAAAAAAACTTTTAAATGACCTCTTCAATTTACTTTATTTGAAACTCTGATCTGAAAATATTTTCAAAACAAGACTTGTTAGTAGTGAGAAGTACAAAGCGAGTTTCCTTTCATAACTTAATTTCTTAACTGTCCCAATCACTGGACCTCCTAAAAAATATTACTTCTTTTTTATTTTTGGTGCAAAATACAAGTCCTTCTTTGTATACAAATGAAACGTGCAAGTCAAACTTAAATAATAACAGCTCTAAAGTTTACTTGTTGTTCTTCTCTGACTCAGCTATCAACAAAATTGTTTTATACTTCGGACAGTGCATAGCCATTTGTGGACCAGAGTTCCAACGCACCTCTGTAATCACATATTGTTGCTTCTATCTTTTATTTTATAAAAATGAGGGTAAAAGACGATTTGTAATGGCATTAAAAATTGTGATTGGCTTGTGTTATTTCTCACCTTTGCCATGAACACAACTCAAGTGTGTTTTGAGTCTTTGTTTCCTCGACAACTTTCGCCCACAAATCGTGCATTTGTAGTACGATCGATTCTTGTCGATTATTTCTACATAGAGTGAACTCAAATCATTATTTATATCACCGTCAGAACATGGATCTAGGTATCCATCGCCCAGAAGCAGAGAACAAGTCGGTCAAAAATCAGAATAAAATTGTGCTCTTCTCTTAACATTGCAATCAGGCCAGGTGGCGGATTCACTTTGCTAGCCAATAACAAGTCCTAAAAGATCCACGTGATCATGCCCGTGATCGGAAACAAAGAAGACTCCATTAGGTGCTCATCTTTAAATGTACTTTTCAACGGTTGATCGCTCGTGCGACAAGTTATTTCTGTTCTTAACTGTTTTGCTTAAGACAATATTTCTAAAGATGGGTTTTATTGTGTTTCGTTGGCGCCGTGGAATTAAAAGAAGGGGCAACAGTTTACATATTGAGTGGCACAAACAAGGGTCGCGTAGCCTTTTAAAAAGCTACGATTTTGAAAGGTTGTGGTGAGTAAAAATTGCGATATTCGTTGCGTGATCAAAATCTTGTCAAAGAATAGATATAACGGCTTGAATTAAGCTTACACTACGCTCGTATTGTATTTTATGGAAAAGAATTAACAGATTTTATTAACTATTTATGTCAAACCAAATGTAATGATTGATTGGGACTATTTTATATGAATAGCTGTAATTGAATATTAATTCGTATGAACTTTTCAAGAAAAGAAAAATAAATCAAATTCCATCCTATTATTACTACATGTTGATGTTAATACACAATCAAAAATATTTTACACGTAAACCTTAATTAAGCTTGTTAATAAATTTCATTGAATACTTGAATTTTAGTTGAGATTTTTTAATTTTTAGTATTTATTTTATATTACCGTAATTTCCGTCCATTTACCCGCGCAGCAGATTACCCACATCGATCGATTTTTGCAATAACGAGAAAAAAATTTCAACAGATTACCGGCACTGGCAGATAACCCACACTCAAAAAAAAAATTGTCGACTCGCACAAAGTTCCTTCACTGTCTTTGATGACACAATATCCTTTAGCGTGCAATTAGTAAATTTTCACACTTTTTGTCTTCGCTGTTTCATTGAGAATGATACCGCTTGTAAAAATCTGTTCTGAAAAAATTGATATCTCGAGATCTATGAGTCGAAGAACGAGCAATCAGCGCAAAATAATTTGGTCTCTTTGGTTTTGTCCATTTTAGACACACACTGTGAGGTCCTGTCATTTGTGCCTCAAGTTTACCTGGTTTTCTTGGGGCTGATTAAACAAAAGGAAAATGTTTATTTTGCGATAAAACATTTCTTAAAATCATTTCAAGATTAAAAAATTTTTTTTACATTTCTTAAAATCATTTCAAGATTAAAAAATTTTTTTTAATCTTGAAATGATTTTAAGAAATGTTTTATCGCAATTTTTTTTTTATATATATAGTGAAATGCTTTTCAAAATCACTTCTTGTTCGAAAATGTTTATGTTGTCACTATATGATAATGTAGTCTGATCATCCAGTTGAATGAGTGTAGTCCTGAGACTGACTGTTGTGGCAGGTGGTGACTGACATTTTGACAACCTGAGTGGAAGTCATCATCTGAGTTAAGAAAATAGTTGTTGTCAGTCAAATGTTTAAAATAATAACCCTTTAACTCACAAGATCTGATTGTTAATTCTCTTCTCTTGCTACTACACAATTCCTTGTAAATTAGTTATGAGAATTTGGTGTCACATCATGAAGATAAAAACTTCTTCCTGATAAGTTCAAGTATTCTCATCAATAGGGAGAAGTTACATGTTGGTCACCTGTTGGTCACTTGTGGGAGTTAAAGGGTTCTCAGTGAGTCTTGTACGTTTGTGTAAACTGATTGATCAAGTGGCACAAGTCAGTCATGATTGGTCTGTCTATATAGTCTATATAGCTTGTATACAGTAAAAATCATTTTAGAAATTTTGTCATATAACAGTAAGGCCCTGCGAATGCAATGCAATTAAAAAACCATAATGAAACTGACATATATAGTGCCAGCTGAGCTGACATTATTTCTACTGTTATTCAAATATACAGGAACTGGTTACAACAATTCCACTTGTGTCCAGAAAAGCATGCAGTAACAAGAAAGGCAGAATTTACGAAATTTTGTCAAACTGATGGATTTGATGATTTCTTTGAAACTAAGGGGTTTTAGAAATATTTTTTATAATGTTCTTAAGCCTTTAACTCACAAGAGTGATTAACATGTAACTTCTCCCTGTAATATCTAAACATTATCTAGCAAACAGGTCATGAGAATACTCAAACTTATCAGGTAGAAGTTGTTATCTTGATCTAACACCAAATTCTTGAAACTTATTTACAAGAAAGTATGCAGCAGCTAGAGGGGAGAATTGACAATCAGATCTTGGGTGTTAAAGGGTGAATGCTCCTTGGTCGTCTGTTTATTGAGATGCATCGTGAACCTCAAGACACAAAGTCAGCCAGAGTCCTGTTCCTTATTGTATAGCTTGTTCAGGCATTCAGCTGCAAAACACAGTTCAATTATAAACAGAGCAATAATAGCAGAGGAGTTTTATTTAAAACAATGGCGTATTATTTCACTCTGTTTCAGTTACTGACTGGGGTTAGAAGGGGTAAAGTTATTCCAATTATTATCTTTTTAATATTGTAATCAAAGTAAGAAAGATGTGAATTCTCCATCAATCAGCAACTCAGTGATGTTATCATGATTATCATCTCTAACCACATGACTAATCTGACACATGTGGGAGAAATTCAGTACAAAAGACACTAAATATTGAGCTTGGTTGTCATGTAAAGAAAGGTGTTATTTGTTTTTATCTTGATATTTGGGAAACTGACAAATCTAAGTGCCCTGCTGAGAACTGAATGGGAAATCTTTGGATTTCAGTGTTATTCAGATTATTAAACAGTGTTAGAAAAAATTATAGGGGGTAAGTTTCTAAAGAAACTGTGGTGCTGTGTTGGTGAGGGTTGTGACAAAAAAAAGTTGGTGTTATCAACTGAATTGATAATGGTAATTAGTCATTATAAAGAGTTTCTTAAGCTCCAAAGAAGGGCTACAAACTGTTTACAAGGGCTAATTTACATTATCAACTCAGGTGAAAAATACAAACAAATTAGCTTCAAAAACAATAATTTTATTATGCTTTAGCTTTATATATCACCACAGGGTGTCTTTGTTATCTTCTGTTTGCTGATCTTTAGGCAATAACTTATATGTAGGATCTCTACCAGAAAAAAAAAATATGTAGTAAATAGAACAAGTTAAAATAGTTTAAATTAATAAAAATATTTTCATTATGCAGGTATTTATAAGAAATCTTTTTAACAATCCTCTACAAGCAGTGTTTGGAGCAAAGAAATATACAGTGTAATCAATTACATAACTAATAGGGTGTGTCTCTTAGTCTCTGAGTCTTACCTGAAGTGGTGTGTCCTAGTCTCTTGGCATCAGATAAATGCTTGAAAAATTGCATGAGCAAGAAATTACAGCTCAGATTGTTGTCCTTTTCTTATCAACTTCCTTTTTCCTTTCTCCCTTCTTACCACAGGTCTTGTACTGACTGTTGGTATATGAATACTTCACTTAGCAAGGGTAAATATTTTCTTTGTCTTCATTCTGAAAGTTTAAGCGATCAGTGTTGGCTTTCTTGACTTTTGTATCCCGCTGCAGCCTTGCATAGTAACGCAAGACATCAGGGTGAGCGCGTACACACTTGCTATCAAAGTCCAAAACTCGGAGGCCTTGAAGACTGCAGGCTCTTGAAAGTGCAACATAAGCTTGGCCATATTCAAAGACTCTTGACAGAGAGATTTCAACACAATCCAGTGTCATACCCTGGAAGAAAAATTAAATTTGGCAGAGAACACTACAACAGCAAAGTGCAGTTACCTAATTTAGTTGATAAGCAAAATTGTCACAGAAATGGCTTGACCTCAACAGATTAGGTTCTTTTCCTGTTCCCCAGGGCAGAACCAACATCAGACTTTTTCCATTTCAGTATCTATATCTGATATATCTCAAATTTCAGCAAGTGTGACAAATTTTAAAAACAAAAACTTTAAACTTTTTAATTATAATACCTCATTTTTAGAGGCTACTTTCCATTGATTCCTTTGTTTCTTCCTTTTATTGTTTTGCTTGGGTGCATTTTTATCATTGGATGGCTCATTATTTTCATTAATTAATAACACTTTTGCAAATTGAAAGTTGCTGCTTTTTTCAATTTCCTGTGTAATATAATACTAGTAAAAGAAACCTATACTTTGAAAAACCCACGATTTATTTGAGCTTCCTCACCATTTCTCTCTAACCTAACATGGATGAAATTATTTAGTAGTTCTGTGGTGGCATGCACAGGAAAAAAAAGTGCTTTAAAACCACTGAGTCCTAAAGCAATGCACACTGTTGGAAGAAATCTCTTATCAGCTTTGTTAGAAAGTTAGCCTTGCCTCAATTTAATGTAAAACCCCTTTTTCATCCACCCCACTATTATTACAAGAAGTTACCATGATTGCAACCCTTTTTTTTTTTAGCTTCTGTTACCTGGCTTTTGTGTATGGACACTGCCCATGCTAATTTAAGTGGCAGCTGTCGCCGAGTGACTGTTCCTCCACCAGGTGTTGATACAACCCACTTTTCAGAACCAATGATCTCTTCAATCCCAGAAACAAACTTGACAATAGGGTAACCTGAAGGAAATTGTGTCATTCAGCAATATAAAATCCTTCTAATGAGCCTATAATTTTTCAAAAGTTTGTATCACTTGAATTATAGTCCCAATCTTATTATGACTGGTCAAAAAACTATGAGGAGGTAACATTTTTATTCAGTAAACATTGTGACAGCCTTTTTGAATAGTTACCAGTGACAAAAATAGCTGTCAAGTGTTGATCAAAGGAGAATTTCTTGAACACATTTCTCAGGAATCTCACAATTGTGACTGCAAACTTATTTTCCTGCATATCAAATACATGAAATTTTCTGATAATACTGTTAGTGTGAATTTGGAAGCGATCTTTGTAGTACTGTTATGAACTCTACTTTAAAAGCAGTGAAAATAAGGCCTGAAAGAAAAATTGAGGATTTGACCCAATGACCTCTGGATACCAATGCAGTGCTCTACTAACTGAGCTAACAAGCCAACTGGGAGCTGGTCATTATGTTGGTTCTTAATACTGTTAGTGTATAATTAACAGACCAGCAGATCCCTCGTCAAATCCTTTGATTATTCCACGAGCACCATTGACAAGTCCTTTCAAGACATTCAAGTTCTTAGCCAGCATCACCTAATAAAGGAAAAAAAAGTATTTTGGATAAATCATTCAACATTTATCATTAACATTTACAAATAACAGGAGTTATCAATACCCAAAAGCGATCCACAACCGAAGTGACCACATTGCAAGACAAAGATTACATTTCTCTTTTGAAGTGATGAATACATTACTACAATCTATTTTACGATGAGTTATCAAAGTCTGATGACCCATCATTGTTATGGTCATAAATAATTTATTTATTAAAGAAATATTATAACTATATATTACATTTTACATTCTGTAAATGTGTAAAGCAAAGCTGTACTATGTAAGAAGTTGTTACCTGTGCTCCTACTTTTAATTCCAAAACGCAAGACACAGGAACATGACTGTCAAGCATTGCGCTCATTCCACTGTCACTGTCAGTTGCTTCAAATACCTTCTTTTCACCAGGTAGTCTTGTCAAATGTATGTCATTTATCTGATTGACATTTTCCTTGTGGGTGCAAAGCTTGGTAGCAAGTATTCCTCCTTGTTCTATTAGTTGATTCTTAGTTGCAGTTAACTTGGATACAAGAGCATCTGAACAACTGGATACAACAGAATATTATTTACACAATAAGTAAAGGTAAGGGGACTGAGTGGAGTCCCATTTGGTCTGTAATAATACAAGTGATAACAAAATCAGAAGACTGCCCAGTGGAAGTCTGATTTGTTTACCAATAGTATAGTCACAAACCAAATTAATTGACATAAAGTCTTATTACCAATTAATCATAAAAGTTATAATTTCTGAGAAAAGAAGAACAGCCAAGTTATGAAAGAAAGGGAAAATTTGCATTCTAAGACAGACAAAGGAGTAACAAGGCTGTGATTGGTTGATTTAAACCACAACTTTGAATGTGATTGGCTTATTGAACTGTTTGATAACAAACTGTCCGATAACAGACTGTCCCATAACAACTTGGCAAGTGAAGTAGTGGAAAACAGGAGTTTTTAAAACCATCTACAATTGAGGAAATTGTGATTTTTTTGATAAGCTGAATTATACATGCAGTTTGATTGGTTCTTACTTAAGATCTGCTGGAGGACAGTCACATAGATGACCTCACCATTAGCAACATTTTGCCTCTTTATTGTATAAAGCAAATAGATTCTATGTTGCAGTGGGTGGTAACAGTGATAGATCACAGAATATGTCAAAATGTAGTAAGAACATCAGAGACATACTCGGCTGTGGCTTGTGTGACACTTTTTTGTCCTTACCACATTTTGATGTCATCTGGGATCTTTTACTGAACAGATTCTCAGCAACATGGAATCTAGTTGTTCAACAGAAATGATAATGGTGGCTTGTTGTGACAGCTGCACTGTATCTTGAAAGACCACATTGACTCATATTGACATAATTCATATAAATTGTTCATTATGAATTAACATAAACTGCTTGCAAAAATTAAGATTTTTACCTTCCAACTCGCACATTCTGAAGAATCGAGATAAAGAGTGGATCTTTTTGTCTAAAGACATGTTTAAGCTCAATGGTTGTTTCAACACATTCACTCCAACTTTCTGCCTGAAATAATTGTAACAAAAAGTCAAAGGTTGCATAAAATCTCATGACAGTGGCTTGTATAAAATCTGATTGCCCAGTCTTTGGATGAAATGTCAATGGATCATAATTTTTTACCTGAAAGCAAAACTTTTTGGGTCCTTGTTGTTTTGTTACAGGAGGAAGCTGTAAGAAATCTCCTGATAAAATCAGCTGAATTCCACCAAATGGGATATTTTCTTTTTTTCTCACAGCACGGGCAACTGCTTCAAGTTTATCAAAATAGGTGGACTCAACCATTGAGATTTCATCAATAATCAAATGTTTACAACGTCTCCACTGTTGGGCTCGCCCAGGCCGTGATGCCAGATCCACACACTGAGCAAGAGGTGCACTTCCACTGCCAATACCTGTCATGCACAAGACCATGAAAACTAATCAAATTTTGAAAACCCATCAACAGAAATTAAAGTGGCTGCATGACATTCCTCTTGAAAGCCTTACCTCATAGGTTGTTCCAACCTACGAGAAGGTTTCTCGCCGTTATATTTAAGACCTGGACAAAATGTGAGTGACACTTTTTTTTTCTTAAAAAAAAAACACAATATCACAAATCATATCCTATAGAGTCTATGTGACAGCTCTTCCCAGAGACTTCAGGATGGTGGCCTGTGATGGGTGAGGTCTTCCGTGGAGAAAGGGGCCAGAGGTTAGACGTACACAATTCTGCCTGGCATCATGTCTCCCAGACACTCACCCTAGTCTGAAAACAACTCTTCTCCTCAATGTTCTGCAAACCGAGTCTTTCATTTCCATTACCCTGCCAGCAGAGTCTCCTTCAAGTAGAGAAAAGTGGGTGGAGTGTGAGTTCACTTATTTCTGGTAAGGAAGGAAGGAAGGCGAATCTGCTGGCAAAGTAACCCCCTTTACACCCCCTCAACATTCTTTTCTGCATGTCAGTGGTTGTTCGTTGAACTTGGGGGCCTCACTCCAAGAGCTCCGCGCGGCGCACTAACATCAATTTTTTTCCACTGAGTTTTTATGACACGCGCGACAGACCTAACCGAAAAGGAGGGCCTGCTCGAAGACTAATGAATTCTTTACTTCGTCAACGTTTCATCCCTTCCTTTCTCCCCAGAGCCATTAATCGACCAATTTCACTGCTGCCATCAATTATATGTCTAGCGCAAATGTATGAGTACTACAATAAAAAGGAAAACGCTCCTCAGCACTCTTGCAAAGGGAACACACCTGCAAATGCATGAAGCGTAGTCCCACCAATATGACAAGCTGCTGCTCCAGTACTAGCAGTTATAAAGGTACTCTGAGGTGGTAACAGTGTTATCAAACGTTTCAAGAGATATGACTTGCCAGTTCCGGCACCACCAGTAAAAAACACACTCTTTCCAGCTCTTATGGCGTTCACCACTGCCATTTGCTCAGGTATAAGATTCATTTGAAAAGAACTCAAAGAGCTGAGACGTTTTCTTGCCGCTCCGTTGTGTTCTTCGTTTCCAAAACTCGAATCGCTTTCTTTACCTGTAGTTTTAATTCGCTTCGGTGTCACACCGTTCTTATCTTCTAGTGGTCTTTTCTTACAGCCTACTGTGAAATCCTTGTCTGTAAGAGGGCTTATGTTTTCAAACGACCGCGCTCTATCACTGAGAAGCCGTCTTCTGTTACTCGCAATTCCATTTTGTTTACTTTGAGCAAGTTTCAATGACAGACATTTTAAAAACGCTGCGAGCTGATTCGGTGGACAATTCGAAAACATTATTTGTATCTTCTGTGTTAGAAGTTTGATTGTAGCCTTCCCTTCCTGTAAAAACCGTTTGTGAATGGTTAATTCCTTCAGGAGAAAAGTCTTTCCCAACGGAGATCGACTACTGACAATTCGGAGAGCGATGTCGCGAAATTCATCTCGACCCAAGACAACTGTAATACTCTTGTACGTTCGCCGTTTCGTGACCACACCATTGGAATTGAGGTGTTCCACTGTCAAGCAGCATTCTAACTCACTAGCTTCCATCGCTCTATCGAAATAAAAGTTTAAAAACGTTTGAAAGAAATGGAAGCTTTGATCGAAAGGAATCAGTCGTCTTTTTCACCTTTAAATTTTGGTGTTCCAAGACATCGACCAATCACATGCAAGGAGTAAGTAGTCTCCAGTCCTCTTTGTCGGGGTCTCAAACTGGCTAAATTTAGCAAGAATGTCACAAAGGTGCTATATTCTATCGTCTTAACGTTTCGGTCCATTCCGATGATTCGGAAACAACCGATTTCGAAGTGTTTACACGAAACCTATGTTTAAGTCCCTCAGGCCCTTGCCATCTTTTAAAAAAATAACTTACCCGTGGTTTGCACGGGGGAATTTTGTTATTTTTTTTAAGAGCTCGTTTAATTTTGAGTTTGCAAACACCCGGGCGTCATGAACGCTGCCTGGCCTTTTACCTTTTGCGAGCAAGCCAATTTCGCGCCAAAATAAGTCATCGATGCGGTTTCGCCTGAATACCGACCCGGTTCTGATCATTCGCGCAGTGAACTTTTGAAGCTTACAATATCCCAGTTCTTCCCTCGTGGGCTTTTCCATGTATAGCCTTGCTTTGCAATGTCTTGTAACGCTCTGCCATTGTTGCTTGCAGAAGTGAAAAGCAAAGACAATTTTTCAAGTTATGTGGTGAATTGACGGTTTATCGAAAATAACGAACATGCAACTTCCGGTCTCGGTAGAAACACTGACCGGCCTAAACATGTTTGTACGGTGTTGGGAAGGGGCCGATGCGGATAGCCAGAATACTACTGACCCACTCCGCAGTGAACTTTGGAAGCTTACAATATCCCAGTTCTTCTCTCGTGGGCTTTCCCACGTATAGCCTTTCTTTGCAATGTCTTGTAACGCTCTGTCCTTCTTAGCCTGCAGTGAAGCCTTCTGACCGGCCATGTTTGTACGGTGTAGGGAAGGGGGCGGGAATGGCCAGAATACTACTGACCCACTCCATCCCCTCTCCTTCCTTCTGAATTTTTTTCCCAATTCTTCGGTTTTTATTTTCTCAATACCCTCCAAAAGTGTAAATGATAGTAAAATAATTTATGTTCTGAAGCATGATTGTGTTTTTGGGCCCTTCTCAGAGTCATAACCTTCGCCTAACGGAAAGGGCTAAAATGACTCTGAGTCGGGCGCAATACATAGTTATGCCCAAGAACATAAACTTTGTATTATTTCATTGTAAAGGAACGTTTGGACCCGAGCGTTATCTGAGAAGAAGGCTGGAGATATGTCGGACACTCCGAACTTTCACATGTGCTCCCAGTCTCACCACAGAATGAATGTGGACATTTAGATGCCCTCCGAGGGATTCAACTGCCGTTTGTCAATACGTAGATGTCAATTGGTCACTCACCAAGTGAGTGCAGTTCACAAGTGCTTATTTATTTCAAATTGTACAAGAAAAATCATGTGATTACGTATCAATAACATACATGAAAAAATACGAGATAGCTTATCATAATTGTGCAGAGGCAAAGCGCGCGCATCAAGTGAAAAAATAATTTATTCAAACGGTGCGTTCGGGCAAAACAACCGCGTACGATCAAAACAATAATATACAATGATATTTTCACATCTTTAGGGCACAAAAAGTTCAAAGTTCGGCTAAACACCGAATCACTTTCGATGAAATGGAATCGTCGTTTGCGAGGTTTAATCATGTTTGCTTTTAATTTCGGCGTGGAATCGCTCGAGCAAAGTGTTAAGCTGAGTCTTCTCGTAATTTTCAATTTCCTCGGCAATTCCCTTCTCTAAACACCACTTTTTCCGAACCGATAACCAAAGAGTAGTGCTTTTTACGGTGTTTTCGTTGTTAGAGCTGTTTTTCAGCTGCTGTCCTGTTGTTCCGGTGGCGAACGAAAACGTATTTGAAACGCCGGCCCTTGTTTCGCTCGCAAATTTTCAGCGTATCCAAATGTTGCGACATCCAAGGCTCGCATTTGATTGGCTATCTGTGAGTTTCTTTGATTACTGACCAATCAGAATGTCTGGTTTGTTACTTCTTTGCACTGAATTAATCTTCTTCTGCATTGAATTACCTGAAAACTGCATTTATCTTAACCAATCCGAACTGAGTAATTTTTTCATGTATATTATTAGGAACAGTAATGAGCCACGATCTTGAAGTTGGGGCAAAATAGAGGAACTAAAAAATTCCCCCATAATCAAGTTGTATGGGCCGAAAAAAGTGGTTAATAAAAATAAATTTTCTCTCTCTTCTCCTCTACCTCCCCCTCTCTCCCTCTCTCTCTCCCTCTCTCTCCCCTCTCTCTCCCCTCCCCTCCCCTCTCTCTCTCACAAAAGTGCCAGTGATCGGGGTTTCGCAAACAAAAGAAGGGAACAATCCAATTTTATGTTGAATAAATAGATAGATGAGAGACTAATAAACGCTGGTATATTCCCCCGACCACCCCGCCAATTTTAAACAGGGTATTGAAGAGATTGGCAGAAAGTCGGGTGTAATAGTATAAACTTTCATCTGAAGGTACCGTGGAATATCTTGCACAACATCGCAAGAGCACAGTAATTCCCAAGGTGAATGAGTCGCTCTTGGATGATGGATTAATATCAGGGTTGAACACCATTTCCAGATTATCTGAGTATGCTAGCCCATAAATAATAATAAAAATGATGGCTGCTTCCAAGACAACTAATGCTGCAGCTACAGCCACACACTGAAGCAATTTTTTTTTTACACCATGAGCAATTTTTGAAACATTTTAAGTACTGCATTGTAAGGGTAAGCGTTCTGCACGAAGGGGACACGCGATAGACACTATACAACTTGAAGGGGCTTGGTCAGGGATTTTAACAAATTTTTAAACAGCCAAATTATGTATTGGTGTCGTAGGAAACCTGAAAATAACTGCCATTTTTGTTAACAATTGCTATATCAGAGCACTGAAACAGCTTACAACCGTCTTTGGCTGCGAATGGCTTGGATGGAAATGAATTGCAACGTGAAAAATTTAGGCTAAACTTTTCAAGTTGTTTCCTCGGGCCATCAAAAAATCGAAATTAATAGTAGGGGTCTTATTTCTTTCCGCAAATTTATTTATTTTTTATTATTTTTCTCTGGATGTTTTTCTGGGTTAAGTAGTCTACCAATAATTTCAGAGCAGTTTAGACCAACTATCCACAAAATTTCCGTGACGTAGCTCCTTTAATTATTCCCCTACTATTCCTCCCTTGCACCTCGACAGATTGAATCAAAAGCCAGAGAATCCGGCCATCTTAATGAACAAGCGAAAGGGCGGATCGAGAACACGAGAGGAGCCAAACTGAGAAATCGATCAGAAAGATGCCCAAAGAAGATTTACAGGGTGGCGGGGGTAGGATTTCAAGGCTAAGACGTTGAGGGGAAGAAAAGAGGGAGAAATTAAAAGCAGAAATAACAATGACATACAATCCGCGACTAAAAACTAATGCTCCCGTTGACATGTAATATGCTGCGTTGCAAAATTAAAGACGTCAATCAAATAGGCGCGGGAAATAAAGAATGACTAAAATGAAAGCAAATAAAATATACGAACGACTGAATGTGCTGCATGTTGAATTGAGACTGAGCCTGTCTGCCGAAGGCAGTGTTTTCAATAACGACTGAACGAAATAGCGTGAGTTAAATTGACGACTGATGACAATCAAACTAAAACGTTCCCCAACGTGAATCGTGAGGGCCTGAGGTAATTGGAACTAGGAAATTTGCTGGGCATTTTCTATCCGTAAGGGCGCAAGCAAATGCAATCGTGACAATCGTGAATGGTCGTTTCTGGGAAACTGCCCACCTACCCCTCCCCAAACCTGTGAAAACTTAAAAGGAGGATATGTTTCCTCAGCAATGTTTCCTAGTTTTCCCAGCCTCTTATTGATATTCTGATAAAAAATATTTGTTTACATTGAGAATATTGTATTCTAAACTTCCCACGGAAAATAAAAGGGGACTAAAACATAAAACGCAAAAAAGCCAATTGAGGACTAAGTGAAACAGTGACTACCTTTGCAAAAGACATTGTGGAGGACTAACTGATAAAGAGGCTTGCTTAAGGAAGATGTGTTTCCGTTGGAGTGTCTCCTAGTTGAGCCAGCTGCAGTTTGATATTTTGATAAACAACTTGTTTACGTTATGTTATCATCGTTAAAAACAGTTTGCACAAGAAACATTGCATTCATTGAGTTCTAGGTTACTGTTTTTGTTCTTTTTGTCGTCTTATATTTTATTAAAAGTTGCTTTTTGAAGATTGACTCTTGTAGTTCCATGTTCTTGAATGTCGTGGGTGGTACTCAGTGTAATACACGAAGATACATCTCCTGTTAGGATGAAATTTCAGAAAGAAAGTGATGTAGTCTTCTTGCAATTTTTAAGGAGAAATTTTATGAACTATTACCAGCCTCTTCCTAAAACTCATATTGAACATGGCACATTTAAAATGCTGTATTCTGTGGTTGGCGCATTTCTCAACCCAGAAAAAATCAAATTCAGCTTGTATTTTTTCCATGTCATTCATGACTATTTAACAATAAGACGGCAAACCCGTGGTTTTTATTTGCTGATAGTTGACAAGGGAAGAAGGCCCAAGTCAACTATCAAAGTTAATAGAGCGCCGATAAACGACACTGGTGCGCGCGTTATAAAAACGATAACGAGTTGTGAAATTGCCATACAAATGATGCCAATTCTTGGTATTCAAACCTCTCTCCTGCACCTTGTGTTTTACTCTATATTTGAGCATTTTGTGATATTCCTACTGTGTATTATAAAGTGTGTAAACCATGAAAAGAGGTTGCAGATTTGACAACACTATGAAGGTTAGGTTCTGAAAATAATAACAAAAATAATAACAAAAATAATAACATGTAACCCTGACTTTCCCAAAGTGGCACATGAAAGTTGCCAAAGTGCCACAATGGTACAAAAGTGCCATGCAAGGTTAACAAAGTGCCACGTGAAGTTAGAAAAGTGCCATAAGGTACGTTAGAATTGTGCCACTAGTTACAAAAGTGTCACTTGAGGGGTGCAAAAGTGCCACTTAACGTTGCGAAAGTGC